ATTTTTTTATTTTAGTGATGATGAATCAAACCCTTTTGATAGGCCAATTGAAAAAAACAACAACCAAAAATGTGAAAAAGCACTCCGCCTTCGGTCTCTTGCTTTCACCAACTTCCTCGTGTTTAGAAAACCTGATAAAACACTGCCTCGTTTATGAATTATTACACCACAATCGAGAACGGAGCAAAAAGAACCAAATTTAAATCTAATTCATTTATTGCAAACAATAGTATCATAACTATATCAAATGAATCAATATCATTCAATTTTAATCTTACTGTCCCCTTCATGATCCGAGTCCAAAAGATGTAATGTCGGATATACTTCCTTGACATCAGAACTAGTAAGTTTAAAAGGACTTGTGTCTGGTTCACTAAGAATTTCCAACAGCTATGGAAGCAATGATCGTCCACCGCTACAAGGACTGCAATTGCGTAAGTAATGCTATCTTCGATGTGACACTCGAAGGAGTCCCAGGTTGATAGCGATGAACCAAAAACCTGCATATCATTGCCTAATTATATAAGTAGTGATCGATCAATCTGCTAAGCGCTTGTTGAGTCTTTTATTCGAATAAACGCCGCATCATAATGCGGGGTTTATTCGAGGACGGCGTTCATTAATATTTTTGCCCTAAAATGCGGCGTTTATTGGAGGGCGGCGTTTAATCGAATAAATACGTATGAAACATTAGTCGGTACGTGCTTCACTAGTGAACCGATAAGGATATCAGAGTGTTAACTCGCGTGTGATTGCGAGTATAGTATCATTTTGCTCGACAGTTTTCTTATTAAGATTCTTATTTAACATGGTAACTGACAATAAGTCTTACGAGGTTCTATAAAGGACGTTAATAGACTTGTCATTTTTTAAAGGAAGATATTTCATGGGGAACATAAAGCATTCGCGCAAAGTAACCATCGGTGTATGGCGAAGCTTCTCCATGATACTATCTTCCATTTCCTCAATGTAACACGTTATTGCTCCAATTCAGTTAGATTCTCAGTGAGATAATTATTAGGACATTAGTGGAAACTATAGCTTCAACTTATTGGATGGGCGGAAGGCACGAAGAACCTTGGATCACAAAAGCGTCTTCTTTCATTATTATGCCTTGCTGCTAAAACATATCTAAAGCATTCTGTCTCTGATAAAATTCACCTCTAACCCTATCTAACTCTCACGAACTACGATTGCAAAAAAAACATGCGCACTTGTATGCTTAATTGGTAGGTTTTTCTTATTTCGGAAGTTGACACCATGCCTATGCTTTATAAGAGATAGCGGCACAGAGACCACGTGATAAACAATCTGAAGCACTGAAGGATTAAATTAGAGCCTTGATACACTCCATAACCAGAAAAGACTCACAGATGAGAATCTAGCAATGGAAAAAAGGCTTAAAGTTTCATGCAAACAAAACACATAAAATAGTGATAATAATAGAAGAAGAAGAGATCACCAAGAAATACAAAAATAATATTCTTAATTTCAACTACACAACACAAGTCTGCAATTTGCATCCTTCAAACACTTGAACAAATATTTGAAGATGAAAATCTCACAGCGCCTAATGATCAGTGTGCATCAAACAATTTTTAGAATCCATTTAGAATACATGGGTCGAATATCTTAATCGACCAAAGGACAAAATAACATTG